TGGGGTAGGTGGTACTGCTGCTGCTGTATCATGGGGTAGGTGGTACTGCTGCTGCTGTATCATGGGGTAGGTGGTACTGCTGCTGCTGTATCATGGGGTAGGTGGTACTGCTGCTGCTGTACCATGGGGTAGGTGGTACTGCTGCTGCTGTATCGTGGGGTAGGTGGTACTGCTGCTGTATCATGGGGTAGGTGGTACTGCTGCTGTATCAGTGGGGATAGGTGGTACTTGCTGCTGTGTATCATGGGTAGGTGGTACTTGCTGCTGCTGTATGTTGTCGGTAGCGTGCGTTACTGCCTGCCTGCTGATATCTGGGGTAGGTGGTACTCTGCTGCTGTATCATGGTGGGTAGTGGTACTGCTGCGCTGCTGTATCATGGCGGTAGGTGGTTACTGCTGCCCTGCTGAATATCATGGGGTAGCGTGGGTACTGCTGCTGCTGTCATCATGGGGTAGGTGGTACTGACTGCTGCTGCTTCATGGGCTAGGTGGTACTGCCTGCTGACTGCTTGTATCATGGGGTAGGTGGTACTTGCTGCTGCCTGTTCATTGGGGTAGGTGGTACTGCTGCTGTGATCATGGCGGTGGTGGTAATGCTGCTGTATCATGGGCGGTAGGTGTCGGTACTGCTGCTTGCTGTTCATGGCGGTAGGTGGTATGCTGCTGCTGTACCGTGGGCCGGGTAGGTGCGTACTGCCTGCGTGTATCATGCGGGTAGGTGCCGTACTGCTGGCTGTATCATGGCGGTAGGTGGTACTGCCCTGCTGTAATCATGGGGTACGGTGGTACTGCTGCTGCTGCTACCTGTTGGGGTAGGTGGTACTGCTGCATGCTGTATCATGGTGTAGGTGTACTGCTGCTGTATCATGGGGTAGGTGTACCTGCTTGGCTAGCTGCGTATGCATGGCGGTAGGTGCGTACTGCTGACTGCCTGTAATCGTGGCGGTAGGTGGGTACTGCCCCTGCTGCTTGTATCATGGGGTACGGTGCGTACTGCTTGCTGCTGTATCATGGGCGTAAGGTGGTACTTGCTGCTGCCTGGTATCATGGGGTTAGGTGGTATGCTGCTGCTGATATCATGGGTTAGGTGTTACTGCTGCTGCTGTATTCATGTGGGTAGGTAAGGTTACTTTTACCTGCTGCCTGTATCATAGGCGCTAAGTGTGGTTACTGCTGCTGCTGGCTGCTATCATGGGGTAAGGTCGGTACTGCTGCTGCTGTATCGCTGGGGTTATGAGTTGTACTGCTGCTGCGATCATTGGGGTAGCGTGGGGTACTGCTGCTGGCCTGCCTGTATCATGGTGTAGGTGGTACGCTGCCCTGCTGTATCATGGTGGGTAAGGTGGTACTGCTGCTGCCGATGTAATCATGGGGTAGGTGGTACTGCTGCTGTCTGTATCATGGGTGTAGGTGGTTACTGGCTGCTGCTGCTGATCATGGGGTAGGTGGTATTGTGCTTGCCTGTATCATGCGGGTAGTGGTACTGTGCTGCTGCTGTATTCGTGGGGTAGCGTGGTACTGCTGTTGCTGTATCATGGGGTAGGTGGCAGCGTTGCTTCTTCTCTCACCAATTACTAGTACCAGTCGTCATACATGTATGTGTTCTGATACATTGTATTTACACTTGCAATAAGACCTGAGTAGAAAAATACTACTGTTTATCAGATTTACTCGCAACTCGAGTGTGAAATACGTATTATCAGGAGTTAATAAAGACAAATGTCTTTCTTAACTCCTGGTATTATGTTTAATGTAACTGTTTATAGGCAACGCTTTTGAAAATTTTAGTAAACTGCGAAAAACATTTCAAGTTCGACATAACTCACCATCACACTCAAACATCTCTCCAACACTCACCATCGTTGCCGCGACAATGCACATCTCCTTACAGGTGAGATCTGAAGATCGAATGCCCGTCGTCGTGGCGATGGAGCTGCGATCGCGGCCGGATGCTGTCCACCTGATTATCGCCGAGCCGTCACGCCGCCTCGACTTGCCGTTTCCCGTTGCCGCGGGCAACGACGACACGGCGGCAGTGCTACGTATCGCGCGCTCCCACGTCAGCCTCACTCTGCATCCGGACCGATGTGACTTCACGGATGCTTGCTTCAGGTGAGGAAGAATGCAGCAGATGCCATGTGTGATGTAGAGCCATGATGTC